AATCGTTCAATTTGACGAATTGGGAATAGTCAATTGGGTGTGACAAGTTGATTCTTAAACTTTCGATTTGGGCGTGAAAGACACGAATCAATTTTATTTTTCGTGTCAACTGAAAAATGCGAAAAAACACAACACAGTCATGAAGACAGATAAGTCAAAAAAGAGTAGTAACAAATTGAAATTGTGATCAAGACTATTGACCGAAGACCATTCCGAGTTGTAACGATTGTGCCGCTACAATCGCTACAAAGCAAATCCCGGGAACCAGGAAGGGTATTGGAACGTCGTGACCAGCCTTCAGGAAGGAGACAAGACTGCTCTTCGTCCGGATTCAGGAATCCGGAAGGGTCTCGGGAGAGATCTGTAACTCGCTATTTTATTAACTTTCCCGGAATGTCTTGAGTTGAATTTAATTAATACCAAAATCATTTTCAGAGTATGAGAAGCTAGGAGTTGAGGGAAAGGGTTGATCCATCTCCATTGGGGGTTGGTTTGTGCATAATGAAGAAACAAACGTATGAATCAAAGCTGGAATCCTTGTTGCAATCTGCGCAGTTTGTGATAAAAGATGCAACCACTGATAAGGTTATACTGAAAACTGAGAAGGAGCTTAACAGAGAACTACTAGCCATGAACAAAGAGACGAGATAAGTGATCATATATATTCTAAGATAAGGTCAACAGGGGGGCAAACCGCCCGTTTGTACGGTTTAGCTAAGGTACACAAGGCTGAGACACCCCTACGACCAGTACTATCACTTCCAGGCAGCTCGTATTAGAATGTTAACAAAATGCTTGCAAAGTTTTTTGACAACATCGATGGAGCCAATATAGAAACCAATACTAAAGATGACAGAGGAACAATTGAAAACGTTGCTCTAGATGGGACGAAACCATAATGTCTCTTGATGTGAAAAGTTTGTACACCAACGTTACCCTGAAGGAGGCAATTGTAATTGCTTTACAGAAGCTGTACAGCCAGGAGTCTCCTCCTGAAATTCAAAGAGCAACCATGAAAAGGCTTTTGAATATGGCGGTCAGCAAAGTATATTTGAAGTGTAATGATTCATGGTATGTACAAGTGGATGGTTTAGCAATGGGCGCGTCCCTCGCTGTAATTCTGGCAAAATTATGGCTGAAAGAGTACAAGTTTGCTCTAAGACAAGAAGTACCGGTGGGAACGGAGATACAGCAAATTAATGACAAAACGGTTTGTGCCCATGTTGCAGCAGGAAAGCCACAGGTAGATCAAAGTAGGTTGAATGCGAGAGTTGCCGAAACTTGTATCATCTAAATTGCGGAAAAATATACGCATCAATAAACGAGATAGTCTGGTACTGTGAAAGCTGCTACCGCGCTAAGAACAAGGAGAAGTATACTCCCCAGGTGAAAATGTTCCTCGGGTATGTGGATGACATTGTTAGAACAGTCAGAGGAAAGTCGAGTTGTCTTTTCGATGCCGCTAATTCTCTTCATCCAAATCGGCAGTTCACGCTAGAGGAAACTAATTCGGAGGGGAATTTGCAATTTGCCGTTCCTGGATTTGAACAGAAATGTATCGCAGGGTAGGCGTGTAACTTGCAGTTGGTATCAAAAACCAGCAGATACAGGGACTATACTGAACTATAGAAGCTGCGCCTAGTGTTATAGAAGATGAGCGTAGTGTTATCCGAGGCACTGTACACAGGGTTTTTAGGAGTACATCTAGCTGGGAGCAATTTGATAAGGCTATGGAAACTAAAAGGGCACAATGGCTGACAAATCAGTACCCTGAAAATTGGTCCGCAAAGGTGGCTTCAGATGCCTTGTGCAAGATCATCGAGGGTAAGGGCAAGCCCTTGGATGATGAGAGGCGTTTGTCAACAATCACCAAAAGATGTGAAGTCCTCAATGCTGATGATGCAATATAGAGGTAACCAAAGCCAATATTTTGCTAACAGGTTACAAAAATAAACTAATGCTTAAATGGTTTTCACCACAAGAAAACTAGAATCATATTTACCATCACTGAAGTCAGCATTTTCTAATAAACTCAAGTCAAGAGTGGTTGATAAATTGTCATGTAGTGGATGCACTTCCACCTATGTCGGACAAACTGTTCGACATTTGACCACTAGAATTGAGGAACACAAGGTAGCAGACTCACCGGTAGGCCTCCGCCTTCAGCAATGTCAACTTGAGGGAAATAGCGCGGATCTTAGTTATAGATAGGTCAAACAACCGAACAAAATTGTTAACACTAGAGGCAATACATATCAGGAAAGCGAAACCGGTAAAAGTATGTCAATCGTAATAGTAATTTAGAGGTCAACTGTGATTGGCTAATTTTTTAACATGATGGTTTTGAACCAATATGTATGTGAATTTTTGTAAATTGATGTTTTATCTTCATTTAGATTAGTTTATTGTAAAAATCCTGACTATGCACATAGTTGCGAAAAGTTTGAAATTTACTTTTTAGTAGAAACTTCTCCAATGGGAATGATGATTTTTATCTACTGAACGAAACCAAAAGTAATATATAAAAATAAGTAGTAGCCCTGTTTTTAGGAGTGACCTCGTAATCTGGGGATACTGAGACCCAGCCATGAGCTCACTATTTTCGCATATATTTGAGTTAATCTGAGCGTTCTGACCGAAGCCGGAAACAGTAACGTTTCTGTCGACCCGATGTTAAAAGGACCACACAAAAAACTGGCTTTGGCAAAGACAGTGAAAAACATGTAGAGCTGTGTTTAGACGCTGTTTTACAACCTAGCTTTATGTTCCGTCGATATGTACTTCCGGGCGAAAGTTACAAATATAGTAATCATCAATTTTTTAGAAAAGAACTTCTCACTAACGGATCATGTGTGACTGTGCTGATGAACACAAAGGCAACACTAGTAACGTTTCAACGTGGAAAGAAGCTTTGCTGTGCGGCGTTGCCTCTGAAGACAGAAAACCAGAGTATGGAAAACTTGGAGAGGTTTAACGGGACTGAGTGTCCTTTACTTTCCAACAAAAAAAATACATTGAAGAGAGTAATGAAATGAAATCTTTTAAAAAAGTGTTTTCTATGAAAATGGAAACAAACGATGGCTTTCTAGTTGTTCGAATTTCTCTGAGAGGCTTGCTGGTGTGGACTCCTCCCCCTGGAGCAAGTGGGGACGCACGATTCATTCTGTGCGGCAAAGATTCACACAGGGGCACCGGAAAAACGAACTTATGGAAACTGGAAACGGAATCCGAAGCAACCTCCCGAATGCCAACGGAGTGGAAAAGGCCCAGCCGAACCTTTCACCTCTCACATCAATTGAAGGCTTTGGCCTCCCCAGACCAGGGAAGGTGCGGATCAAAGGTGCCGAAGAAAGACCGGGTTATTCTCTGCCGGACCAGGTAAACCAGCCCACCTGGCCCGGCTGTTAGGAATGGCTGGAGACGTGGAGGAAAACCCAGGACCGTACGAGTGTGGGATGTGTCAAAAGAGAGCCAGTGGATGCAGCATCAAATGCACATGGATACACCAGGTATACAGCGAAATGACACGTGGCCAAATCCGACAGATCGCAGGAAAGGAACGCTACGCTTTCGAGTGTAGAAAGTGCAGGGAACCCAGTAAAACGACGGGAACAATAGTTCCTGGGACACCTGACGAAACTGTCCCCCCGAGCTCTGAGTTCTCAGTTAGAGCAGAGAGATCTCACAGAGTCCGCAAGGTGAAGCAAAGACACCCGACAGAAGATCACAAGGAAACGCACAGAAGGCAAAAAAAGACAATACAAGAAAACCGAAGAGCCGAACGCACCAAACACAAACCCCAAAAAACAAGGAGAATAGTGACGTGGAACCTACAAGGCATCTCCATAGAGATCAAAATCGCAGCCGCCTTAGAAGAGCAGTAGAACATGCAAGACAGCAAAAGTGGAAGGCGGTAATGATTTCCGAAATACGATCGGAACAGGAGGGGATAATATGGCTAGGAGACAAACCAAACCAGGCAGTAGTCATACACTCACAAAAATGTGGAGTTCTCCTGTTAGGCGATTTACTGGAAGACTGGATAGCCAGCGGACAACAGAAAAGTTTCTCCGAGCGGGTCACAGCGGTGCAGATCGGCAGGCTCCGCCTCATCGCAACCTATCAGCCCCTGTGGAGTAAGGGACCTGAGGAAATTGAAAAGTTCAGGAAAGATTTGGAAAATGAGCTCGCACGAACTCCAAAAGAGAGTGTACCCATACTGGGAGGCAATTGGAACGCGCAAGTGGGAAGAGGGAGTCAAAGACAGGGCATAAATGGGAAGTACGGCCTAAAGACAGAGACAAATGAAGCTGGAGAAAGTCTACTGGGTTGGTGCGAAGAACACCAGCTACAACATGTCAACTCCTACTTCCCAATACGCTCCCGAGGAACATGGTTCAAGCAGATGCACAGAAGTTGGTACGAGCTCGACGGTTTCTTAATGAGAGTATCCGACCGCCACCAAATGGTCCGTAGGGTAGCCACGGCGCAGGACATGGCATTATCGGACCACAAACCTGTCTGGATTGACATATGGCGCAAACAAAAAAAAGCGGCCACCCAGAATAGAAAAGAAAAGAACATCGCAGATAGACTGGGAACGCATGAGAAACAAAGAAATGGCGGAAGCATACCGCAAGAAGACGGAGGAAAAACTCAACAACGAGGAAGACTGGGACTCCATATCGCGGAAGCTCACAGAGGCAGCGGAGGAAGTATGTGGCACAAAGAAACGACAGATAGCCAACCCGTGGATAGTGGGATACGAAGAAGAACTGAGAAGCCTACAGACGGAAATCTCCACAGAAGTAATGCGCAGAAACGAGCTGATCAGCCAAACACTTGGAGAATCACATGGCATGCTTGCCGATGCCCTAACGGCATCAAGAAGAAGACTGGTAGCCGCACGCAAGAAGATGAAGAAACACCTACGACAACTAGAATGACTATGGTGGGACGAAATCATCATCGAGTGCGAAAACGCAGCGGAGAAAGGGGACATGGGTACCATGTACAAAACTTTAAGGAAACTGGGAACAAGATCACAGAAACACCAGACAGGCACCACTATCTCTACTGACGAATTCAAGGCCCACTTCAGCAACGTATCGAAGGACCGATATGAGAACGACCCGGGTACTTTGATGAACACAGTCAAACAGATACCAGATGAAAGCAAAGACGTCAAGTTCATAACAGCCAACCAGAAGCTGAACACCCTTCCGTCCGAGAAAGAAATCATGGAAGCACTGGATGAGGTGAGAGAATCGGCGCCAGGCAAGGACGGGGTCCGCATGGTATACATTCGCAACGCATACTGGAAATGGAGGGAGAAAGTCATCCACCTGGTGATGAGAATGTTCACGACCAGAGCAGACCTGTGGGAAGAGTCTCTTAAGAAAGCCCAAATAGTACTGTTGCACAAAACAGGGAACATCAATGACGCCAACAATTTCCGAGTTGTGTGCCTGCTCTCAATGGCCATTAGAATTCTAGCAAGAAGGATCGCAAACCACCTGAGAACATGGAGCGAAGAACTCCAGATATTGGACGAAAACCAAAGCGGGTTTCGACCAGGCAGGTCCACGGCAGACGCAAGCCAGATCTTCATAAGGATAAGAGAGGACGTGGAAGATCTCAGGAGACGGAGGATAAGAGCCGGAATCTCAGTAGAAGCCAACACAGACCGAGAAGCCAGACTTTTAGACCTAACAAAAGCTTATCCGCGGGTCAGCAAACCGGTCCTGTGGGCGGTCTTAAGGCGCTACGCGATGGAAGGCCCGTTTTTTGACACAATTATGGATTTGCATGAAGCCACAACCTATAGTATAAAGGGCAAAGAGGGCGACAGCGAAGAATAGACCCCCGAAAGAGGGTTAAGAGAAGGTTGCCCATCTTCGCCTTCATTGTTTAACATAAACCACCAAGTGGTAATGCGGCAAACTGAGAAAGCCAGACTAGACAGAGCCGAGGAGAAAGGTACAAACGTCGGGATAGCTTGGACGTGGATTCCGGGAAACCACTTCCCAGGAAAAAACATGGTAAAAACGCACAACAGTGAAACCCAAACCGCACGAATATCATTGTCCCTGTTCGCAGACGACACCACCCCCATCGGCGAGAAGGAAGAAATAGAGTCTGGAACAGCAACAATAAAAGAAGTTATGAAGAACTTCGAGGAGAAAAACAACGAAGAGAAAGAAGAGAAACTAGAATTCGGAAAGGACGGAGCAGGTAGCATCAGATTGATAGGAGTGTGGATCGGGGCAAAAGAAGACATTAAGAATAGAAAAAGACGAGCAGGAGGACTATGGGCAAAGGTCAAGCGCCGGCTGACAAAGAGCAGGCTGCCGAAAAGAATCCAGGCGAGAGTTGTCCAATGCTGCGTAGAAAGTGGCTTATTGTTTGACGCCAACGTAAGGACATGGAAAAACTCGGAGTTACAGTCTTTGCAAAGTTTCATTGACCGGTGCTATAGGCACGTCTGGAGCTCAAAGTCGAAGCCGCCATTAATTGAAATGCAGGAAAAAGGAGTGATTATGCAGGACATCAGAAACCAACTGAACATCAAGACGATCCGATGGAAAGTTGAAGGAAGGACTCTAAAACGAATAGGCGATGTAATGAGAATGGACGACAAAAGATTGACTAAAGCAGCTTGTCTAGGGTGGCTAAACGATCTGCAAACCGTACCGAGATGTCCGGGAAAAAAAGACGAAACACTACTCTACTGGCGGAAGCTCATCAGAAAAGCGGGACTGGATGTGAACGAGATAGACAAACTGACTCAGGACAGAAAAGGATGGAGGCGAGCGGTGAAAGCACGAATGGAGCACCTGCTTAAATGGGAAAAGTCAAATGCGAGAAGACAAAACGGTGAAACGACAGAAAGGAACTCCTATACCCCCCAAGCAACATCGAACACGTGTGAGATATGTGAGAGGGATTTCAAAAAACAGGGCGGCCTGACAATCCATATCAAAAGGATGCACAAAGAGGCGAGGGTGACTTTTGCATGCAACAAATGCGGAGCTATCTTCAAATCTGAAAACTCGGAAAAAAACCACAAGAAGACATGCGAGGGAGACAGGAACAATGAAGATAGAACCAAGACATGCGACAGATGCGACAGAACCCTACAGGCCCGAAACATGGCACGCCACAAAAGACAGAACTGCAAGGGAAAACGGGTACCAGAACAAGAAGCAAATGAACAACACCATCAACCCCGCGTATACAAACAGAAATACAGAAATGGACTATATGTCCGAGATGTAACGAGAGCAAGGCACCTAAGGATATGCACCACGTCCATGGTCAGGGGAGAGGACATACCCTTTGAACCAAGAGGGTGAAAGTCTACATACATACATTTCTCTGAGAGGCCGACAAACACAGAATAAGCAGCAAATAAATCAGTCTTATCTCAGATAGAGCCTCTGAAAGGTAAAACATCGGATAAGGAACTGGACTCCCTCAGAGAAGTGTTGAATCAAAACACAAAGCTGACATAGGTTGTGGGAATTTCTTGGAACATGAGATTGAGATTGAGGAGGGCTCGGTATCTCACAGGTAAGGAGATAGGAGAATGAACCCAGACAAGTCAGAGGCATGTCGGAAAGAAATTGAGAGTTAGAGTCCTTTTGAGAACATCAAACGAGAGTTTTTCGAGGCTCCGGTCCTCGGCATGCCGACTGAGAAAAGGTTGTTCAAGTTGGAGACGGATGCATTAGTGGCCGCTGCCCGGGCATACTCCATAAGGAACAAGAATGGAAGGGGAGGACTGTTCTCCGACCCTTAGCTTATGGGTAAGTTCTAAGCGATACTGAGATGAAATACGTCGCACCAAAGGCGGAGATGTTCGCAGTAATTATTTTCGTGGAAAAATATAGAGCCTATTAGGGAGCGCTTCTCTTAAATTGCGCGTGGACAATTGAGCTCTCACATGGCTGAAAACTTATTCGAAGGATCAAAGCTACATGGGTCGCTGCGTTGTACGCGTGGATGGCTACGACATGAGTAAAGAGCACCTAAAACCGTGACAAACACCAAAATGCCGACAGCCTCAGTAAAATTACGGAGTTTTTTGAGCGACTGGAAGAGAAACAAGCTAACCTTGTAGAGATTAAGGTTGGTTTTTTCTTTTCGAATAAAGACACCTATAAAAAGCTGCCACTCACCAAATGGCTTTACAATCAGGGCATCCCATACCAGGACACCCCAAAATTCCTGCTGAGAGAGCTGAGGAGATAAAGGTATTGGCAAGGGTTGAACCGGTTCCGTTGGACTTGTTAGCGCGCTCCAACCTGATACAACAAGAACTTACCAGGTTAGGCATCAATAGATTAGCGCTGCTAAACGAAATGGTGAGCATTGCACCGGACGTCACGCGGAAGCTCCGCAAACTACTTGACAGATAAGTTGAAAGGCAGGATATGAAATGATGCAAACCATGCGGAGACCATCACAGAAAAGACAGAGACAAGACCGGTAGCGATCCGGAGTCGAGATGTTGAACGGGATTGCCAATAAATAGTAAAGCATCTGGTCCAATCGATACCGAAGGGTTTCCTGTTGAGATCATCATACACTGAACTTCAACAACTGACCAGCACTCAGACCACTGAGGTGGTGAGTGTCGAACTGCAATCCAGTATGGCAAGGAGGGTTCAGTTCGTTGATTCAGAAGAGGAGTACAATCCGTGCTCGGACTGTTCATCCGGAGATGAGACATTTTCCGGGGAGTCAACTAAGGAAACTGATCAAGACGCGGAAATGTCCAGGGTGTCGGGCTTCATCATGCCAGGCCGGGATATTTTGTGCGAGGAGTCATTGCCACGACGACCGAGTGATAGAATTTTGTCCGGGGAGTCTAGGAACCTGAAGAGTAAGTCTGAAGGCGACTGTACAGACTCCATCAGCTCGAGTGACAGTTCCAAGTCTCAACCCTGGGCGAACGTGTCTTAAACAACCTCCAATTCGAACGCTTCAGAGATAGCGATTCTTTTCGTACTAGTGCAATGGAAACTGCGCGGGTTGGATACAGAGATGCTTCAAGACCCAGACAGACATACCTCCGAGGAGGAAGGCACTGTAATCAATCATGCCGCAAACGAGTTTGAGTTGACAGCAGTGTCGAAGCGTCAGGCTAGAATATTTCCGCATACTACGGCCGTTTGTACCAACCTCGAACACTTGGGGCAAGAGGTGGCACGAAGAAAGTTAAAATAAAGCCCATGCTCCGGATATATTCAGCAAACAACCAAATGCGATGAAGACATATTTGAAAGCCAGGTAGCCACTGTCGGATCTTTTAAGGGCTCAGCAAAATGATAGAATGACAAGCAACTTAAAGAGATCGATAGAAAACGGAGTGCCCGACAAAGGTGACCTAAAAGAAAACAACTACAAGATCCTGAAGCAACTTTATATGATGAGAAGAGATTTGTTGTACTTGAAGAAAGACGGGATCGTCGCCTGCTAGCACAAAGAAGAAGACAAAGACGTTTACAAGTTTAATTCAATAATCCTACCACAGCTGTATCAAACTGAGCTATTGTTTGGCTCACATGGCCAGATGGGTAATCAAAGCGTGGAAAAAGTGTATAAGCAGATACAGAAGCGTTATGAATGGCCTGGCTTGAAGAAGGCCTGTGAAAAACGGATTTCTGCATAACTCTCATGTCAAGAAGCATAGGACCCCAGGAAGCTGAGATTTCTCCTGCAATCGATAGAATCGCCGGGACTCAATATAATGGTACAAATCGATCATCAGAAAATCTGTATGACGGCCACGGGCTTTAACCAAATGCTGGTAATGATCGGTTGTTTCACAAAGAACGTAGTGGCAGTATACTGAATGATGGCATTAGCGGAGGAAACATGTGATCATTTGATAAATGTCTGGATCGCCAGACACGGGTGCCCGATCAAGTTCCAGTCTAACAATGGCAAAGCATTCGTCGGGAGTTGACCATGAGGTCGCAAGTAGCGCAGGCCCACTCGACGACTTATCAACCGCAGACGAATGGTCTTTCGAGAGCCAAAATTGCACACTGTTCTCCATGCTAAGGGTTTATTGCTCACGATGCATGGACGACTGGGATAAGCACATGCCGCAGGTGATGGGCGCGTACAAAACACTGAACACTCAACAACGGGAATCAGCGCACACATGATAAACAGGCCACGATAAATCTCTCCCGATAACATTATTTTATCCTGAACACGAGGGAAATAACAGCACCGCAGACGTACGTGACAGGCCACGATAAATCTCTCTCGATAACATTATTTTATCCTGAACACGAGGGAAAAAACAGCACCGCAGACGTACGTGACGTCATCAAAAGGCAACAAAAATTGAATGAGTTGTACCGCAGCAGGCCCAAATTAGGCAGGAGAGAGGATTGGATAAAAGGAGAGCAGACGCCAAAGCATGTCTGGGTCTTCCTGGGGTGGTTCCCCAAAGGGAACTAAAAAGTGGCTGAGGAATGGCATGGTCCATTTCAAATAACTGAAGTGCACCGAGGTGGTCGTTTCTATCGATTGAGCTCAGAATGCGCTGCTCAGTACGAGGACCGCACAATGCCTCATCGGAAGACTGGTTCGTCCCGGCTGACATGCATGAGGAAGACTATTGACAGTGGATACCGCTCGTGAAGTGAATGAGAGGGGTACACGCGACAAGAACGACGGGAATGAGGTGGTGAATGACTGTGATTTGCCATTGGACTTAAAATTAACTGAGCGAGTAGAGGTCGATGACGAAACCCTACCTTATGCCGTGGAGGAGTGGAACGACCCAGAGCAGACTGAAGTTGACAACCCGACTTTTCCTCGACCATGGAGACGCGACAGT